AAAAAAAAAAAAAAATGTGGCCTTAAATGATTATTTTAGACAAGAAAAAAGGTAGAAAATTAATAATCTCTGCAATTAACCAAAAATTATTAAGGGGTGAAAAAGGAGAATAAATCCAAACAAAGAGGCAAAGCAAAATAAAGACGAGAACAAAATCAATTAAGCAGAAAAAAGATAGACAAGACAAACACACTTCAAAAGGTAATTCTTCAGGAAAAAATTAAATGAAAAATTACTTTCAAGATTAATGAAGAAAAAGATATAGCAAATAATTACCTATTTTATTTTTTTAAATTTAGTTTTCATTATTATTTGTTTTATTTTATTTTTTACTTTTTTTTTTTTTGACACAGGGTTTTGCCCTGTCCCCTAGGCTGGAGTGCAATGGCGTAACCATGGCTCACTGTGGCCTTCCCTGGCTCAAGTTATCCTCCTACCTCAGCCTCCCAAGTAGCTGAGACTACAGGTACACACCACCACACCCAGCTAATATTTTATGTAGAGACAGGGTCTTGCCAGGTTGCCCAGGCTGGTCTTGAACTTCTGGGCTGAAGCAATCTTCCTACCTTGACCACCTAAAGTGCTAGGATTACAGGCATGAGCCACCAGGCCTGGCCATAATTACCAATTTCAGAATGAAAAATAGCTACAATAGATGGAGCAGAGATGATTAATATTAAGAGGATACACAAATGGCTGGGCACAGTGGCTCAGGCCTGTAATCCTAGTACTTTGGAGGCCAAGGTGGGCAGACTTCCTGAGCTCAAGAGTTCAAGGCCAACCTGAGCAACCTGGTGAGAACATACCTCTACTAAAAATACAAAAAATTAGCCAGGCATGATGGCACATGCCTGTAATCCCAGCTACTTGGGAGGCTGAGGCACAAGAATCACTTGAACCTGGGAGATGGAGGTTGCAGTGAGCCAAGATCGCACCACTTCACTTCAGCCTGGGTGACAGAGCGATACGGTCTCAAAAAAAAAATAATAATAATACACAAACAACTTTATGCCAACAAGTATAAAAACTTAGGTTATATCAATATTCCTAGAAGAGTCAATGACCAAAAATGAGTCTAGAAGAAATAGGAAATCAGAATGATTTAACAATTATTAAAGAACTAAATCAATATTTAAAATTTTCTCACATAGAAAACATAGGCCCGCAATGGCTTCATAGGGTAGTCTGGCTAAAGATTGAAGGGATTGATAATTTTTTTTATACAAACTTTCAGATAACTTAAAAGAATAAATGCTCCTACTAATCATTTTAGTAGTTTACCACAACCAAAGCCAGATAGGACAATATATAAATGAAAAATTTCCAGGCAAATCATACTCATGACCATGAATGGAAAAATCCTAAAAGAAATATCAGCAATGGGCAAAAAAAAGTATTGACCAAATAAATTGCATTCCAGTAATTCAAGATTGGTTCAACATTCTGAAATCTCCTAATATTATTTATTACATTAAGGGATTCAAGGAGAAAAAAATTTATACATGCACCCACTTATTTCAGTGGATGTGAGTAATAAAGTCAATGCCAATGCCATTCATGGTAAAAATTCTTAGCAAAATAGGAATGAAAGAGAGTATTTCCTTAACCTGATTGAAACCACCTTTGCAAAAACTGTAACAGCGAGAAAACTATGGCAGTGAAAGAGATCTGTCCTAACCAACTCGATCTTGCGTTAAGAATATTTCCTTAACCTCCAATACCTTACTTTTGTTTATCCCTGTGCATAGGCCGATCTCACCATAGGAGGAATTTAGTTCATAGTTCAACTTTGGAACAAAGATGATAAGAGCTCTTTTCCAAAACAAACCCCCTAATTGCCTGGGGACCAGATCATCTTTGCAAAACTAACAAATTAGCCACAAGATTAGAAATTATGGATTAGGAGTCCTGCAGTTGGAAGCCACAAGATTCCTAACCTCCTCAGTTGCTTCCATGGATAATGTTACTATTATAAAAACTAAGATTAGTGTTTAAGATATTTTCCAGACCCTGTATTCTGATGGATCAGCCTACACACCCAGACTGGTAAATTGGCTTATCTGGTCTTGTGCCTCACCTCCCCCAAGGAACTGACTCAGCGCAAGAGGACAGTTTTGGACTCCCTGTGATTTCATCCCCAACCAAACTAATCAGAATTCCCCATTCCCTAGCCCCCAAACTATCTTAAGACCCTAGCCTCCAAATTTTCAGAGAGGCTGATTCAAGCAATAATAAAACTCTTGTCTCCAGCTTAGTCAGTTCTGTACACATTAAATTATTTCTCTGCTGCAATTCCCCTGTCTTGATAAATCGACTGTATCTGGGCAGGGAGTAGGATGAACCCATCAGACAGTTACATGACAGATTATCTACAAATACCTACATCATATTCAGTGGTGAAATATTAAAAGCTTTTCCTTAAATATGAGGAAGAAAAATGACAAGAATGTTAGCTATCATTACTTCTATTAAACACAGTACTGTAGGTCTTAGCAGATACAATAAAAGGAGAAAAAGAAAAAACGGAAAGGAAAAAAGATAGTTTTCCAAAGTGTTTATTATCATTATATGTATAGAAAATCCAAAAATAAAAATCTACACAGAATAAGAATTCGAGATTCATATTCTTATTAAAAATACCATAATGGAACACACACACAAGACACTAAACGTTCTATATGAAATGTTTGATAAGTTTATCTTTAAGTAGGTTTATATTTATATTTTTTGTTTCAGCATTATGGTTTTCCCAGTATTCTCCACTAGATTATTGAATGTTTTAAAAGAATAATGTTACAAGATGTCAAAAAATACATAAAAGTCAATTTTATATCTACATACTAGAAATAAACAAAAAACTCAATTTAAAAAGATAGCATTTAATAGCAATATAAAATACCTAGGAATAAATCAAAAGATTTCAATACCTTTTTAAATAAAATTATAAAAATTAATTAAAAGAAATAGAATATAATAGAAAAACATATCATATTAATGGTTTAAAAGTCTCAACATCAAAAAGATGTAACTTCTAAGTTTATCTACAGATTGAACACAATTCCAATCAAAATCCCAAAGGAAACTTTTGTGGAATTTAATAATCTGATTCTAAATGGATACGGAAAAGAAAAATGATACAAGTAGTTAAGACACTTACAAAGAAGAAGAAACACATAAAAGAAAGTGCTTTATCAGGAAACAAGATTTATTACTATTAATAATTCAGTCCATGCAGCATTTGTGCTGGGACAGACAAGTTGATCAAACGGAACAAAGAGAAAGCTCAGAAACAGATTCCCCCTTGTAACCTGAGAGACAACAGAGGTGCACTACAAATCTGTGGGTAAAGGAGGTCCTGTTTTAAAACAGTGGGACAGTTAGTTCCCCAAGAGAACAATAAGTTCTCTTGATGGGAAAAAATAAAAATTCATCCCTATTTGACACCACATCTTAAAATAATTTTTAGGTCAACAGATTCTACCTTAATAGAGGTGGGCAAACAGGAATGGAGGATTAATTCTGATTGACAGGAAGGTTAGTTTTCTAAGGAGAGATGACCTTTGATGTGGTCCTTGCAGAATGAAAGGATTCTTATGGCAGAGCAGTGTGGGAAATGGACTTCCAGGAGAGAACAGCAAGATCAAAGTCTCAGTGTGAGAGGCATGTCCTGGGAACGGACAAACAACCAGCCTGTCTGAACAGGAAAGAAAGCTATAATGTTGATGGCTGACTGGCCCTTTATAGTATTTTTGCATCTATGTTGCACCAAGTTTCTGTCCTCTATGCTGGTAAGAACCAGTTATATTCGCAGGAAAAAATATTATATACAGTGCTTCTATAACACTGACACTCATCAAAAAGCCACTTCTATTTCAGCTCAGATATGCAAAAAACGAAACAAAACAAAAAAAACCAAAAACATTTTTAAACACGTGAGAAGTTCAAGTTACCTTTTCTTTCTTTTCTTGGGTGTCCTGGTTCTGGTTAATGGTGATTTTGTTGGCCTTGTTATGTACAGTAGGAATGACCTACGGCAACAACAAAAGGGGTGGGAGGAAGAAAAACTTAAAATGACATAATCATTACATTTTATTTTTCTTGATATTCCAGAATGGATATTTTTTTTATTGTTACTTTTTTTTTTTTTTTTGAGATGGAGTTTCACTCTTGTCACCCAGGCTGGAGTGCAGTGGCGCAATCTCCGCTCACTGCAACCTTCACCTCCTGGGTTCAAGCGATTCTCCAGCCTCAACCTCCAGAGTAGCTGGGATTATAGGCACCTGCCATCACACCCAGATAATTTTTGTATTTTTAGTAGAGATGGGGTTTCACCAGGTCGGCCAGGCTCCTCTCAAACTCCTGACCTCAGATAATCTGCCTGCCTCAGCCTCCCAAAGTGCTGGGATTACAGGCATGAGCCACCACACCAGTCTATCATTACATTTCTTAATGTATTTGTTTAAACAGCTAAAATCATAACTTTGTAACCTCATCTAAAAAGATATAAGAAGTACAATTCAAAGCAAACCATAAAACTTGGAAAATCTGACAAGATATATAACTCTGAAATACTATAAAGTTATATATATATATATATACCATCGGGGCGTAAAAATGCAGGTTTCTGTATGTGGATCCAGAAACTGAAGATGAAAAAGACTAAAAATAAGGTCACATACTGACTATCATCTAAACATCTCATTTTGCAAGATAGAGTTTTAGGTATTACCTAATTAATTATCCAAGAACATCGGATAACACATCTACTTGGTAGATTTACCTTATTCATCATTGTTCCCCCAGTCCAAGTATGTTATCTCCCAAACTCTGTGTACTCAATAAATACTCCACTATCACTGTTAGCATAAGGATGAATTAACAAGTCTATTTCCACCACTGAATAACCTTCATGAGAGTAGAACTCAGTGTTATTTTTCACCATTTCTCTCGTGCTCAGAAATGGCCTAATACATAGTTACACTTAATGCAGCTTTATAAATGAATGAACCAGCTTAATTTTATCAAAAGAGGCTCCTCAAAGAGCTAGCATAGATAATCTTGGCATAAAATCTGGTGAGAGACATGAAGACTAAAAGAAAAAAAAATAGGCTGAGTACAGTGGCTCACATCTGTAATCCCAGCACTTTGAGAGGCCAAGGCAGGAGGATTGCTGGAATCCAGGAGTTTGAGACCAGCGTGGGCAACATAGGGAGACTCCATCTCTACAAAAATTTAAAAATCAGCTGAGTGTGATAGTGTGGACCTGGAATCCCAGCTACTTGTGGGGCTGAGGTCGAGGCTGCAGTGAGCCACAGTTGCTCCACTGAACACCAGCCTCAGTGACAGGGCAAGACCTTTTCTCAAAAAATACATAAACAAATTAAAAAGAAAAAGAAAAAAAAATCTCCTTGCTCAGAAAATTAAAAGACTGCCTGCCTAGAAATAATTAAAAACAAAACAAAAAGCCCATTTTCCTCTAAATGCAATTTAAGATTAAATTTTCATTTTTAATAAAATAAATTTCAGAATAAATTATATTCTCAGAAGTGTGTCATTTACATAAAAACAACAGTAATTATACATTAGCATATATACAGTGCTATGTGAAGAGGCACTGTGCTAGTATCTAATATTTCTGTCTCTGTTTAATATAGATAACGACCTAAGTCAGATTTCAAAGACTGGTGGGGTTTACAGGCACATGTTCCTTGTCCTAAAGAATCTTAAACAAAACATTGCCTCCCCGACAAGTCAGAAACTATCCACCCACACTACTGCTACTTTCTCCCATGGAAAAATTGGTTGATACTAAGTAGAAGCTAAATGAGACACAATGTCAGATGCCACTCATAATGTTTACATTGTTTTTCTTTCTTTTTTCTTTTTTTTTTCTTGTTGAGACGGAGTCTCACTGTCATCCAGACAGGAGTGCAGTGGCACGATCTTGGCTCACTGCACCTTCTGACTCCTAGGTTCAAGCACTCTCCTGCCTCAGCTTCCCAAGTAACTGGGATTACAAGCATGTACCACCACACCTGGCTACTTTTTGTATTTTTAGTAGAGACAGGGTTTCACCATGTTGGCCAGGCTGGTCTCCAACTCCTGATCTCAAGTGATCCTCTCACCTCAGCCTCCCAAGTGCTGGGATTACAGGTGTGAGCCACTGCACCCAGCCCACTGTTTTTCAAATAGCAGAGAAATGTTCTTCTGTATATATATCTTTAGCAAAATTTAGAAGACAAAATCCTCAATGAGACTACACCTTTCAGGAAAACAGAAGAATGTATCTCTTGTGAAATTAAAAATATATCTATAGATGATTAATATGCAAAATGCTCATGTGTCGCCGAACGCTGTGGCTCACGCCTGTAATCCCAGCTTTTAGGGAGGCAGAGGCAGGAGGATAGCTTAAGCCCAGGAGTTCAAGACCTGCCTGGGCAATATAATGACACCCCATTTACAAAAAAAAGAATAAAAAAGAAAAATACTCATGTGTCAAAAAAAGTAGATACTCTTATGGAACAATAAGTATTGGGGAGTACAACTGGAATATAGAAAGGAAGACAGCAACATGTGATGACAAACATAATGAGCTGAAGACACGACCCAATTTCAAAAGGATTTTTTTTTTTTTTTTTTTTTGAGACAGTGTCTTCCTCTGTCAACCAGACTGGAGTGCGATGGTATGATCTTGGCTCACTGCAACCTCCGCCTCCCGAGTTGAAGCGATTCTCCTGCCTCAGCCTCCCAAGTAGCTGGGACTACAGAACTGTACCACCACACCCGGCTAACTTTTTATATTTTTAGTAGAGATGGGGTTTCACCATATTGACCAGGTTGGAGGACTTTTTAATGTGAAATACACACACACACACACACACACACACACACACACGTTTCTGTGAAGTGCAGTTATTAAGTGGAAAAAACTACCTTATAGAAAAACTTTCTATGAGCCTTACTCTCAAATAAGTATTTGTCAAGTACATCCAAGTAGATACACACATTTTTCCAGAATGCTGAAAATATACTTAAGAAAGTCAGGGTGAGAAGCTTTAAACGGTGTATTGGTGATGGTCCTAAAGCAGCTGATAATGCACCCAGATAAAAACAACCACTCCATTCATAGTGTTGAGGAGAATGTTTATGTTACCAAGCTACTTTTAGACATCAGGCCTTTGATGGGCATATTAGAAAATGACTTATTTTTAGGTTTTAAGGAAAGTTAAAATTTTAATGTAAATTAAACAAAAATAATTAAGCATTGCCTATATTTTCTATTTCTGGATAATCAGTACTACTTGCAATAATAAGTAAATCAAAGAGAGCACCATTTTACAAAGATATGAAACTTGATTCTCTTTTCATTTGTCTCATGCAATAAGAATCACTTTGTGCTGACCAGGCGCAGTGGCTCATGCCTGTAATCCCAATACTTTGGGAGGCCAAGGCAGGAGGACTGCTTGAGCCCAGGAGTTCAAGACCTGCCTGGAGAATAAGGGGAGACCTATCTGCACAAAAAAAATCAAAAACTAGCTGGGCATGGTAATGCATGCCCCTGGTTCCAACTGCTTGGGAGGCTGAACTTGGAGGATTGCTTGAGCCAAGGAGGTCGAGGCTCCAGTGAGCCATGATTGTGCCACTGTACTCATCCTGGGTGAAAAAATAAAACTCTGTCTCAAAAAAAAAAAAAGTCACTTTGCCCTAAAAACAAAGTTGAAAATGGAACAAGTCATAGACGTAGCAATTAACATCATCCATGGGATATGCTTCCTTGTCTAGAACCGCAGATAGTTCAGTGCCTGATGAACTGAATGTACAATGTAGCAGTCTACTACACTACATTAGAGAATAAGTAACTTGAGCATGGCATAGTGCTGAAGAGATTTTCTTTGTTTGAATAATTGAAAGAAATTGTACTGTTTGTGTCATCCAAACAAAAATTTCCACCTCAGCTCACTAGCATAGGTTGGATTGAAAGCTTAGCCTTTTTGGCAGGGCATTCACAGCTGGCCACACAAATGTATAATTTGATTGGCTCACTCTCAATCAAAATTGTTGATTTGTAAGTATAATTTGGCAAAGAACAATCTGGCCAATTTTCCTGTTGAACCCAGTTTCCAGAAATAAAAGCCATGGCCTCAACAACATTCCCGATATCATAAGAATTAAAAACTGGGTTCTAAAAATTCTCATTGAATTTCAAATTTTGTGAAAACAAGAGAATTTGGAGGAGAGATCCAAGATGGGTGATTACTAGCAGCTCAGGATTGTAGCTCCCAGTGAAAGCGCAGAGAACGAGAGGACGCCACACTTTCAGACGAATTTTTGCTGCTCACAGACCAGGAGATTCCCAGTGGAGGGGCCCCACGGGTCACCAGCGCAACTCTTGTGGCCGGCGCCCCAGCGCGGCAGTTCTTGGTGCAGAGTAAACGGGACTGGTTCCCTTTTCGGTCGATGTTTGGAGCTCCGGGAAGGCAGAGTTGCCTATTCAGCTGATTGAAAAAGGGACTCAAGAAGGAAGCCAGACCAGGGATTCCCAGGCAGAAAAGCACCAAGAATCTTAATGCCGCTGTTTTGGCCAGCGCAGTGGGTTGCTCAGATTCCGGCGCTGGGAATCAACAAGTTAGACGTCCACTCAGAGACCTAATTTGAAAGTCGGTAATTACAAAGATGACAGGTGGATAAATTTACAATGATGGGAAGAAACCAGCGTAAAAAGGCTGAGAATACCCAAAATCAGAATGCCTCTCCCTCTACAGGAGATCACAGTTCCTCATCAACAAGGGAACAAGGCCTGATGGAGAACGAGTGCGTTCCATTAACAGATTTAGGCTTCAGAAGGTGGATAATAAGAAACTTCTGTGAGTTAAAAGAACATGTTCTAGCCCAATGTAAACAAACTAACAACCTTGAAAAAAGGTTTGACGAAATCCTAACGAGAATAGACTATCTAGAGAGGAATATAAGTGAATTAATGGAACTGAAGAATACAATATGAGAATTCCACAAAGTATGCACAGGTTTTAACAGTCGAATTGATCAAGCAGAAGAAACGATATCAG